AGATATTTGCTCACATGTCTTTGTTGTTGCTGAGAGGAGAAGGTTTAACAGGAAGTGGCTTTGTTGTAATCTCACGTGAATCCTTCTGCTTTATTTCATCTGAAAAATCTCAGTATTTAAACTGCTTTGGCTCGGTTCGTGGTCGTCACGAGTATTGATTTAAATGTGAAGATATTTCATGGCACCTTGGCAGCTTTTACAGAAAAACTCTACCATTATTTTGATTTAAGACGCTTTAACAAGCTTCTAAGCTTCTGCAGTTTTCTGGTTCTTGTCATACCTGAGAACATAAGTGCAGGAGTAAAGATAATTAGACATATATTTGAGGGAAGTTGGGCTAAAAAAAAATGTTACGGCTTCAAATTCTTAACAGCGTTGCTTCTGAGGTGGTAAAAAGCTCCCCTTTCCTTTAACTCTCTTGCCATGTTGTGTGTTCACTCAAGATTGAAAATAATTCTTCCCCCGCTGGCTCCCTCTTGGTTTTTACAAAAAAAGGTTTAAAAAGGAACGGACATAAATGCCAAAAAAAGAAAGCGGCAGCGGGGTAAATTGAGAACCAGCTGAGCCGAAGCCGTGTGTGTCTTTGCCAGCCGTGACCTTGGCAGGATGAAGAATTTCCTGAGACGCTGAGAAAAAAGGGCCTGTCACATATTCAGAGCCGGTCAAAGAGGTGGAACAAGAGGGATGAGGGGTTGAATTAGGGGTGTCTCTTCTGAAAAGAAATGGAAGCATAAGATGGATGGCAAAGATGTGACAGTGCCGGAAAAAGTCTTCCTCGTCTGCTCGTCTAAAAGAGGAAGCCGGGGCAAATTAGAAACTTGATTCTGTCCCGCTCCAGCTGTGTTTCTTTCATTGTGTCTGGGAGAAGATGAGGTCTGAGAGTGGAATGTGTGAGTCAGGAGGAGGAGGAGGAGGAATGAACAGGGTTTCGATGAGGAAGAGGAAAGGATATCCTGCAGCCATTCCCCACGGGTTAATCACAGGAAGTAAACCACCGTTAGCCAGACACATCTACGCCACCGCACTCAGTCACCACATCCTAAACCGTCGGCTGGCTGACTGACTTCCTAGAGGTCTGTCTGGGCCAAAGCACATCATGCCCAGGTTTTCATTTGGCCACAAAGATATGATAACACCGACTGTCAGTTGGTGTAGCAAATCAGACGGGAGCAGCAGGTTTAATAGATCATGAGATGCCTTCGCTTTCTCTGAAACACACCAACCAATCTTCATGCCTTCCATGTTGCTGTGGCGGCAAAATTCTAAAGAAGTAAAATGGGAAATTGACTCAAAAATGTAACTGCCGCTAGGACACCAGACGCAGGAGAAAGGATCCAAACTCCAGACAAGAACGTCGTTTTTTTTTTTGCAGTTATATTCCACTGATCCATTATCCCACACTACAACCACAATGGTTTTCCCACATCTTGCCCTTTTCGCCTTTCCTGTGGCCTCCTTTTGTCTTCCCCTGCTAAAAAACCATATGCCTATTCTGGCGCGCTAATCCCACCTACACCTGTCTACAATATATACACGCCTACCAGGTGTCTGAATCGTCCTATGCCGGAAATCGCCTTTCAAATAAAAGCATAAACCACTACTAAATAATTAATCTAAAATAATTAAACAGTAAATGTAGGTGTCGTTAGACTTCGAATGCTCAAAACGACTTGGTAATAGGGATGGGAATTTGAAAGCAAATATATTCGAATATTCGACCCGCAAAAAAACGGTTAAGCGAAATGTACATATCCTATAAAAAAATTGACAAAAAAATAAAATACATGTTGAAATAAGTATAGACACCAAGTGGAATTTGTCAAATGTATTGAACTGGTGATCACAGTTTGAACAGTTGACAGCTATAGGCCTACAGCGGTAACGTATCCCTATTACAACAGAGTTCAACAACCTGTAACAGGGCTATGCACAGAATGCAGCTATTCAATACTCATTCGTGTTTAAGAATATGAGCATGTGTCCTCAGGGGAGAGGCGATTCACAATCAGGCCAGCTGTAGAGAAGACCCTCTCAGCTGGAATGATGAGGTTTGAGTCTGCGTGATCTGCGTGTAAGGAGGGTCAGCACCTGCAGCTCTGCCCGCTGTGAGGGGCCGGTGAGCGGAGCAAAACACACCTTTAGACCTAACACACTTAGCTATGGCACTGTCGTATACATTGAATTATTCCATTTGATCATATGTAATCAACTTAGGCACCCCTCCCAAAAAAACAAAAATATTCATAACTCATATTCGAACACCTGAATAATTTCGAATATTCGATTAATGGTTCCCATCCCTACTTGGTAATGACTTATTTTGGTTGATATCTAGGAGATAGACACATCTTTTGAATAATCATTGTATTACTTTGAATCTAAATAAAGGTCAGAACAAAATAAATTAAAGTGCTTCATTTATTTAACAATTTAAGACGGAGAAAAGCAGCGGACTCTTGAGGGGATATGTCGAAACCAGCATTGGCGTTTTTGGTTTTATAAATGATAATATTAAATGTAATTTTAATGCATTTAGTTTTGTTTAAAGCTCACAGTGTTAAACCAAGCCTGTAAAGCGTGAAACCAGTCTAAGGATGACGGCACTCCCTCGTCTGGTTGCATAAAGATGATTGACGTGATATAATTACACACAGAAATGGACTCAAAGTATTTCTCTTTTAACATATTCTGTCACATTCTGCCAGTTGTTCCAGGTCACCAAACACCGCAATTTATCTTAATTACCTGTCAGTCAGCGGTTTGAGTTACCCGCCTTCAGGGAGGAATCCATATGGTAATTGAACACCTCCATACCTGCAGAACAAGTGCTGCTGATTCTCCAGAGAGCCTAACATCCCTTTGTTCACCACGGTGTAGAAACTACCACGGAACAATTTGGGGCAAAAAACCCTATTTGCATTTATATTTGATGTATGTACTTTGTAATATGATTCACAATATTGCCTATTTATTAGAATTGAACAGTTGAGTAATTGGATCGTGGTGTGATTGTCTTTATTGTGTTTTTTGTGTAGATATTTAGTAAACACAGACTTGTTCTTAAATCTGTAGAGTACGATTTGTAGGCTGTGACTTCTCTGCAACAGAATATTCATTCAGAATGACATTTTGAAATATTAGGCATCGAAAATCATCGTGCCTCTTGCAGTTTGAATATTGCACTTAGGTCTGTCACGATAATTAATTTTGTTGGACGATACATTTTTCTGGAAATTATTGCAATAAACGATAATATTGTCGGCACCGTTTTAAGACCATTTTAGACATAATGATAATATATAATAATAATTCAAGTACATCCTTTCTAACATAACTTTTTATTGAACATTCAACATTGCAAATGAAATGTGAAATAATATTAAAATATATAAATTATATATAATAAATAAAACAAATTAATTAAATTATAATAAATTAATTAAATCACACAACCAAAACAATAAATTAAATAATCAGGCTGGAAAACAGAGCTCTCTCTCTCATATATATAATATAAATAAATAAATATGAGCACACATTATCTCACAAGCAAAAAAAACCTCCTTAAAACAACAGTCAAGTGGACAGTCCACTGTCAAAGACCCAGATGACCTCAACAGGCCATATCCAAATCTGTTTTTCTAAGTTTTCGAGCAAGGAACACCAACATGTTTGCATTGTCGGGCGGGGGCTCTCCTTCTCCAGCTGCCGTGTTTGC